CTGGGTACCCCTTGATGATCTAAAAGGTCTTTTCCAACCAGGCGATTTTACAGTCTTTGTTCTGGCATTCCAGCAGTGCTGTTTAAATAGAAAAATGGAGCTGCAGAACATTTTTAATATTTTTGGACATTTTTTGTTTAGGCACCATACTGGGCATTAGAATTTTATAATCACTTCAGCTGCAATTGCAAACAAAGGAGAGAAATAGTTCTTTAGATCAAGGAAGAAATTATGCCATGAGTGTGGATTGCCAGCTTTTTTTCTTTAAAGAGTTAGCAGCCCAAAATAGGGAGCAGTTCCATGAGCTGTCTCTCAAGTTCCAGTGAAGTGGGATTTCTAGCATATAGGTGAGTTGGTAGAGTGGGAAGAGAGATCTTTATAACGTGTCCCTTGTTTATGTTTACTAGTGGTATTGCCAGTGTGAGGAATGAAGCATGTTGCTTGTAATAAAAACTGATTTGCCTAAATAAGGTGTAAAAATTTTGGAGGAAGAAATCAGTGGTTTCCAGCTGATGAAGTCAGCCTAAAACAGGTTAGGAAGAACATTTTCTAACAAATTCCCTCTTGTTGGAAGACATCTTGTTAGGAGATGTCTTTGAGCGATCTTACTTTCATATAAGGAAGTAGAGAAGCGGGCTGGTAGGCAGTGAATATGCTCCTTCAAATCACTGCAAATTTTTGTGGGACTTCTGTGCAACCCTAAATCAGTGATTCCTGGACAAATGAGAGTCTAGCCGTCTCCATTTCTCAAGCTTATTTATTTATTTTAAAAATAGTATTAATATTTCATTTCCTATAAATAAAACTTAATGGACAAATTCTAGATTTTTAGATTTCCAGAGAATGTATTATTGTAAATGGAGAATGAATGCCAGAAATGGTGACAAAATACTAGTTATGTAGATCTCAAAGTGAAACATTGATTTCTAAATCTGTGAAGTTATTAATTTCCATGAGATTTTACTTTTTATTACAGGAGTGAATAATTTGGAAGGACAGTACAACAAAATAGCAATTCCCAATGAAGAAAATGTGGTCATATACTACAAAATCCGACAGCAACTTGCGAAACTGGGTAAAGAGATTGAAGAATATATTCACAAACCAAAGTATTGCTTGCCCTTTCTACAGCCGGGAAGACTGGTAAAGGTAATTTGCTTTTTTGTTTGTTTTTATTTAAAATCTCTACCTCTCTGTGAGACTTGCAGGGTTCATTTGTATCTGCCGTTTTTACCATTTTAAAAAATTACATGCATTGCACTAAACAACAGTTTTGTCTTTCATTATTTTTCTTCGTTAAGCATGCAGCAATGAATTAAAAGAAATACTGTTTTCATTATGAGTAATAGTCCATGACTACTGTTGTAAATATCAGAAATACAAAAAGATATGCTTGCTATGATGTGATTATACATGGGTTATGTTAAAATGTCTTGTAATATTTTCAGGTCAAGAATGAAGGTGATGACTTTGGATGGGGAGTGGTTGTTAATTTCTCTAAGAAATCAAACGTTAAGGTAAAATACACATTATCTCCATTAGAAAAATATATACCTTACTACTTTTTCTGAAAACAAGATGAAACTCCTGTTTTCTTTTCAAAGCCAAAAAAAGTTTCCTTTCACCCTAAATTTACAAAAAGCTCACTTTCTGAAGTGAAAGTGTAAAGAAAAAGACTATGGAAGGTGTGACAAACCCCAAGTCCTGTGTTCATTTTTTAACTTTTAGCATATTTAATGCTTACTTGTGCCTGAGATAAGTAGTTCAAAAGGGCACTCACTTGACGCTACAAACATTTCAAACTATTCAGTTTGTTTCTGAGACATCCCCAACAGCATTACGCTAAAGCCATTGGTGGGAAAGCGGCTACATTCTTTGGACGATTGAGAGTGTAGGGAGTCTGACTTGGCTCTGCATAAGTTATGTTAAACTGGGAAGTGTGTCTCGAGTCCTGAGCTACTGCATGAGATGTGGGATTGCTTGTCCTCTGGGACGTCGCTGTAGAGTTGAGGGTTGGGAAGTTAAAATACAAAGAGAGCAAAACAATAGAAATGGATTCAGGGAAGTGTGGAAGAAAATACTGAGGGCAGTGATGCAATAGAAGCCAGATTTGGTTTTCCTTCCAAAAATCCATTTTTATAGTTGGTCTCCGCATAACCTCAGAGATGATGTTCTGGTTTCCTTTTCAGAAATGTTTTGACAGGCTATGCTGCTGGCTAAATCAAAACCCAAGTTTGAAGTGTATTTTTCGGTGTTAGTATTTTTGCTGTAATTTTGGCAGGAGAGCATTGGCATTAATTTCTAGGTCTAAATGAGAAGTTGTCTTTGAAAAGTTCTGGTGGCGCCTGTACGTTGTGGCACCTTTTGATGTTTCTCTAATGTATATTCATTAAAGAGGAAATGAGAAAAATGTGTGCATACAGAACTTATTAAGAGATTTTGTTTTGGTTTTGCATCTTCCTATTGAAAGCCACATTTCTTTCCTTTTCAAGTTGGAAAACTGGACTGTTACTTCTATTGCTTAAACTTTTGTTTCTAGACTGCTTTTTTCAGAGAGCCACACGAGCAGTAAAACAGATTTCCCCTTCACCCCAGCCTTCCATGTAAAATTGCCAGCTTTTGTGTCACTGGAGGCATTTCTTCTATCTGTGTCATATTTTATCCGCATATATATTTGCCTTACATATCTGGCCTGTATCACTGTTGTATAAAGCCTTTAGGTTTGAGTGTTAGCTTTGAAATTGGGGTCTGTCCTGCAGGAGATGGCTCTGGCTCCTGCAGCGCTTTTTTATTTAGTCATTTTAGCAGCTGGGTTGAATTTTTCCTTCTGAGTTCTGTGGAAAGAATGACAATAGGTGGTGAAAATTATGGAACAGACTTAAAGCTATGTAACTTTAAAAACCAGTGTAGAAAGACTAGTTTCTATGAGCAGAGGCAAAGCAAATGACTTAGGCTGTTATTTACCCATTCTAATGTGTCTATTCAATGCATTTTGTCCTGGAATACAGATGCATTTCCTCATTACCATTTAATATAGTAGTATACTTAGTATTGGAAATACATAACTGTTATGCCATGTCTTTAAACCTTCATCCCCTTCTAAGCTGTGACATTTCTGTGGATTTGCTTTTAGAAATTATGTTGAATTCAGTCTTTATTACTAGTTTTTCTTTAGTTGTTATTTTTTCTTCACTGTATCATAGTTTCTAAGGGAAGTCCTTTTTCAAGTGAGAAATATATATACAATTAAGATTGGCATTTAGGGTTACAGTATGCCTGTATTTCACTGAGTAATTCTCTTCGTTAGCTGCAATGTGAAAGCAAAAGCACGAGTCATTGTCAATTATCTTCATTGTTAATTATATTTAGAAGTTTTTCCGGCATAATTTCACAATGTAGTGTTACACAAAATTGTGAATGCGAATAGCACTTTATACTGAATTACAGTAGACAGAACAATTTATTTCAAGCGGTGGTGCTTGCTATATATTGTACAATATAGTAGTCAGCAAAGTAACTATTTGCTTTGGAATGAATAAATAAATCCAAGTGTTTTTGAGTAAGAAATTTTATTTCTGCTGGATTGTGCCAGCAGTATGCTAGCTTTGTTGTTGTGCTGTTTGTAGCCCATATTGTCATCTGATGCCTGATTCTAGATATTAGGTTTTTGTCTGCTAACAGTTATTGGTATTAAAATTTGAGATGCTGCAATTTGGTCTTCTTATTTCAATGATTAGAATCCTTGTATATTAAACTTAAATTTATGTACTTATCTGTTCATGTTTGTTTATAATGTTTACTATGTAAACATCATTTTTAGTGCTGTGTCATGGTCAGTGAATTTTCATTGAGTCTGATGTTATTAATCTGGGAATCTGAATTGGTTACCTTTGCCATATTTCTTGATTTGCAGATTTGATCAGCTGTCTTATCTTGTTTTGTTTCTGGGCACGTGAAATAACAGAAGTTACAGGGAAAATCTGAAGTCCTTGGAATATACGTAATCTTGCAATATTCTGCCAAAGAGGGCAGAATTTTATACTTGAATCATGTGAATTGATGCAGCATGAATCAAAGGATCATTCAAACTTCATGTGACAGAGATGTCTGTGACTAACAGATTTTTACGGGATCTTCTCTCCTTTTACTCTTGCATATAAAACCTTGGCTATTCTTGTTCAAGGGTTCAGGACCTAAAATGTTGTAGGAAACCCACTGAAGGAAACAACGCACATTCAAAAAGCAGATTAATTTACATCTGATCAGCATTGTCTGAAAGCCATTGATAAATGTAAACTTAGGGAGTAATACTAACAGCAGATGTTAATGACATTTGTACTCCTGCTTATTAAAAGGTTTACCATACAGTTACTGATATAATTACTGTTTTCCTCTCATAATTTTCTTGACATCTCCAATTCTAGTGTTTTCTGTGCCATATATGTGCAGCTGTGGGTTTAGTCTCTTCTTCATTCAGGTCGACATTATGCTTTCCATGGCTTTGGCTGGCTACTGATTTGGTGTATGTGGATATTATTTTAAAATTCTGAATCAGAGAACAGCAGTGTTCTGGGTCTTGTACATTGCTGTGCATGCTTTCTGCAAATGTAGGATAGAATTCAGGGGAACAGTTTCTTCCCCAGCAAGTAATTGCATTTCTTGAAAAAATTACCCATCTCAGAGAACAGGATAACCCTGGTTTTTTGTTTAGTTTACTGTGGCAGTTTCTTGTAGTACTTCTGAGAATATCTTAGAAATTGTAGCTGTCTCCATGCTGCTTTGCAGTGAAAGAAAACAGTATGTTGTAGATTTTTAATGAAAAATATTGCCCAGTAAACTGGTACTGAGTTAACACAGGATTTTGAAAAGAGTATTCTCTCTTTCTCTCCCTCTTGTATTTGGAAGCAGAGAAGCTTGTACATACTATTTTAAAAGATGACGTCTGTCTTCAGTGTTAGGCCTGTAACTTAGTCCTATTTAAAGTCATAAAAGTGTTTGCTTATAGTAGGAGTGTATTTGAGCAACCTTAGTGCATACTGATCCACTCAAATAACTAACAACAGGTTTTTTTAAAGCAGTATATAATAAAAGTTATGGCTTTGTGAATCATAGTCTCTGAACCACCATATCTGCATGTTTGTGTTCTTTAAATGAATGTCAGATGTTACGTGTGCAGTTTGGGTTGTATAAAGATGTGGCCTGCAAGACGCAGCTTCCTTCCTTTCTGCTGCAGATACAAGCTGTTACGCTTGAAAGATTTTCCTTTGGTCTTTATTCTGGGGAAAAACTTAAACTGCAAGCCTGCAAATGAAAGAGATTACCCAAATTTTGTTTCTTTTTTTAAAAAAGGGCAAAGTTCAGTACTGCTAGCATGCTGCAAGTATTTTGCATTACAGTTGCAAAAGATATTGGCTTACTTTGAAAGAGTTACGTCTAGAATAAAAGGCAGAAGCACCTAAAGCTGCAAGTAGATGTTAGGCTACACTGATGAGGGAGGATGGGGGAGGAGTAATTTTTTCAAGTGAGGGATCAAGTTTTCTGTGTGAGGGATCTTTCAATCCATACTGATGCAGTAGTTTTTGGAATATACTGGATCACTGAGCTGATACCTGCAAAGCTTGTTTCATACCTTTAATATTGAATAAAATAATGCTTTTTCCTTCTATTCTTGCTGGTATTTTAAAATAACTGTTACAGACCTGTTTTTTCTGTGCCCTCAACAGCCAAATTCTGGTGAATTGGACCCATTATATGTAGTTGAGGTGCTACTGCACTGCAGCAAAGAGAGTTTGAAAAATTCTGCTACTGAAGCTGCAAAGCCAGCCAGACCTGACGAGAAAGGAGAGATGCAGGTTTGTTATACATGCTTGTTCTCAATAGTTTCTCATAAATGCTCTCAAAGATTCTATTTCCAAAGTGTTTGCAACATGTGGTAAAAGAGGGGTGGATGCATTAAGGAAGAGAAAGGAGCTGTACACCTAACTCTGCTTTCTTAAACAGTTGCTGATTTCACTGAAGAGGAAACTTTGAAGTGTGAACAAAATACTTGACTGAATTTGTTACCGTATAAGAAGTGCTTTGAAACGTAGTTACGGTTGTGTTATGTATTTGCAATCAGTAGATGAAAGACCATAGCAGTAGTGTAAACAAAGTTATGAAAATGACCTACATATGTGATAAAATCTGCAGATAAACAAGTGTCTGAGCTGTTTTTTTCTTGGATACTTGTACAGAATTTTGTGGGCAATGTGCATTTGATCTACTAGAATTTAGTTAGAATTTTTGTAATCCTTAAGTAATAAACTTTAGCAATGCTGTTTGGCAGATACTTTTCTTAGCAGTATGTCCTGTCTCTGGGAACAGAATTTTCTAAAATGTCTTTCTCTTTTTCAGACCCCTTCAGCTTTGCGAGGCTATCTCATTCTAAAAATTGAATTGAAATTTTTAGTGAAACCATCTGCATTATTTAAAATTTTCAGTTTGAAACCCTATATCAGGACAAACAATTGCAATTTTCAGATGAGACAGTTGTTTAATTTGTCTGCTTGGTTCACAAAGTCCATCTAAATCTTGAGATACAGGATTGATTCTTCATGGTGTCTTCATGGTTTTGATACTATAACATTTGCTGATTTGTTGTTCTCTATTGTTAGCATTCCTAGTTAAGTATATGACAATAATTTGTCTGATTTTGATCATAAGAGATATTCCAGTAGATAAGAAGCAAGGTAATAGAAAGACTTATTTTTTTTTT